GTAATAACCTGTCAATCCCAGAAATCCCCTCAGCGCCTTCAGATTTTTCGGTAGTGGCCACTTTAGCATTGCCTCAATTTTGGACTGATCCGCTGCCACCCCTTCCTTTGATACCACATGACCCAAGTACTCTACACTGGCTTGTGTAAAGCAGCATTTCTTTAGATTTGCCCTCAACTGATGCTCCCGCAATACTTTTAACACTTTTGTCAAATGCTCCCAATGTTCAACCTCTTACCTGCTGTATATCAGAATGTCGTCAAAAATACTAACACAAACTGTCTGAGATATGGTTTGAAACCTTATTCATCAGGGCCTAGAAAGTAGCGGGGGCATTGGTGAGACCAAAAGGCATCACCAAGAACTCATAATGGCCTTCATGAGTTCTAAAAGCCGTCTTGAAAACATCTTCCTTCCTCATTAGAATCTGGTGGTAGCCCGATTTCAAATCTATCTTGTTGAATATCACAGTCCCACTTAATTCATCCAACAGCTCGTCGATAACGGGTATATGAAACTTGTCAGGTACAGTCTCCTTGTTGAGTGCTCTGTAATCCACACAAAATTGCCAGCTCCCATCCTTCTTTTTCACCAACAGAACGGTTTCTGATGATCTCTGCTTCCAGCATCTCTCTAATCAATCGTTCAATTTCATCTTTCTGGAACTGAGGGTAGCGGTAAGGACGTACACTGATGGATGAAACCCCATCCCTCAACACAATCACATGCTCTCGCTCCCTCTGCGGTGGTAATCCTTGAGGCGGCTGAAACACCTCCTGGAACTGCTGAATCAACGGTTGAACAGAGAGGGGTATATCTCCTTCCTCCTCCACTCTTGCTCCCTCCAAACTGTGCAATTCCACCAAATAGCCTCCTCCCTCCTGCTGAATGGTCCGGATTAGGGATTTGAGAGAAACCCCCGCCTTGGTCAACCCAGCGTCACCCTGAATCATCCTCCTCCCCCTATCACCAATTCCATCCTCAATGTCCCCCAATTGATCTTAGTCTCCCCCAATGTACGCAGCCACTTCATCCCTAGGATGATGTCAGTACTCCCCAAGTCCAAGGGAAGGAAGTCCTCCTTCACCTGGATCCCCTGAATCTTCAGCACCACCTCTCTACAAACTCCTCTACCCATTTCCACTTTGCCCGTACCCATCATCACCCCATAGCCTCTGGTATCGACTAGTTCCATTCCCATCTGGTCATCGATCTGGGTGGAAATGAAATTTTGGGTTGCCCCACTATCGATCAACACAACCACCTCGCGGTTAGCTATCTCTCCTCTCACTTTCATAGTGTGACTCGGGGTGAATCCCACTACAGAGTTGAGGGAGACTTCTGCCACGTTCAGATGCAGCTTCTCCTCCTCCTCTTCAGTCCTGCTCCCACCTCCCTCCTCGTCTTCCTCGTCTTCACAGAC